AAGGTTTTGCCTAACTTAAGGTCACAAACACTTACTTCTATGTTTCTTCTAAGAGTTTTATAGTTAGAGCATTTATTGCGTCTTTGATTCATATTGAGTTAATTTTTTGTGGATGGTATAAGAAAGAGTACAACTTCATTCTTTTATACGTGGATCTACATCTGTTGAAAACACTGTTCTCTCCCCTTGTCAAAAATCAATTAACCATAAATGTATGAATTTATTTTTGGACACTCAATTCCATTACATTGATCTATGTGTCTATCCTTGCCAAGTTATTAAGTATGAATAACTTTAAACTGAGAAGTTAGTGCTAAACAGTTTTCCTAAGTGTTATTATCGATTTGCAACCTTGGTTGTAGCCTATGAGAGTGTCAGCAAATCATTCTCTCCATTACTTGGTATTTTCTTTCTTTTTAAGTTTGGACTTTCTGGTTGGTGTGTAGCTATAGTTCAATGTTTTTATTGTTTTCTTTGTTTTTAAATCAATCTTATTGAGGCATAAATTAGGTGTAGTACAGTGAACCCATTCTAAGTGTTTTGAAATACAGTGAGTTTTGAAATATAGACTCATATAGCTATTGTCTAAATCAAGACATTGAACAGCTATTTCACCCAAAAATGTTCCTCGGTGCCCCTTACCACTCAATCTTCCCTAACTCTACAACCTAGGCAACTACTGATCTCCTTTTTTTAAATGCAAATTAAATTTGTCTTTTCTAGAGTTTCAAATAAATAGAAGAATACAGTGTAAACTCTTTTTCATCTGGCTTCTTTTTCTCAGTATAATCTTTTGAGAATGCATCCTTGTTTCTATGTATACAAGTATTTCATTTCTATTTATTGCTGCACAGCATTCATTTCACCTGTTGATGGACATTTGGGTTATTTCCAGTACTGAGCTAATATGAAAAAAACAGCTATAAATATTTGAGTACAAATATTTCTGTGAACATATTTTTTATTTCTTTTGGATAACAATTAGGACTGCAATTATTAGGTGATATGGTATGTGTATGTTTAACCTTATAAAAAATGCTAAAACATTTTTCAAAGTGGTGGCACAGTTTGATATTCCTAGTAACAACATAATAAGCCCATAAGAGTTGCAACTGCTCCATGTCTTTGCAACACATCGTATTGTCTTCAGTCTTTTTCAAATGAACTCGACCTTCTTCTGAGTTGAGGGGTTCTAGGCCTCTCCATTGGCTTAGTTCTAGGAAATGAATGAGGAGGCTATGGATCCCTACTATAACAACTCAAGTTATGTTTCTCTTATCCAACAAATCTAGAGGATATAAAGCAAGACCTTAGTAAGTTTTCCCTTTCTTTCATTTCTAGGTACTCCATGATTAATTAACTTTGTCCAAAGATCTCTGAAGGTTAAAACAATCTGTGCAATGCTCTTTCCCTGTGATTTATGGTGATAATATCACATACCTTGTCTCTGTCTATTAAACACTACCACCTATCACCCCAGGATCCCATTATGCCAACTGGAATCAGGAAAGCAACTTACATGGCAATATCCTCTTTCTGTGCTCACACCCATACCCATCATCTTCAGCCTACAGAAATTGCCTCCAAGTAACATTTTAAGGATTCTGATGACCTACTCAACAATAAATGTCTTAATACCTTGGTGAAGAGAGTGTCCTCTGGGATTCCTGGGGAGTAAGGTTAGCAAGCATATGATCAGATTGCATTTATAAATTCCACTTCAACATTCTCATTTTCCTGAATTTTCAGACTTCTTCCTGTATAAGATACCCAGGAAGTGTCTGCATTCTAATCTCATTAGCTGTAGGCCAGTGGACCTCTTACTATCCTTAGGTTCAAAGTGTATACAGGAAATAGGACATATCAAAACCTGAAACGAGATGGTCATGTAGAAAGCCAACTTTGAAGAAGCTACAATCTTTGAATAAATGAAGCAACTTACTCAAAGATATCCCTCAGGAAGTGAACAAGACATAAGTGCCCTGATCTCACTCTTACCTCTTTCAGATTTCTTCAGGGGACTCCTCATTGGTAGAAATCCACTATAATCCAGAAGGAAAAGGAACTATATTGATGTGGTCCATTCAGATCAGCCTCCTGAGGCAAGAGAAAGATGGAGAGTGGATGAGAGGCAAATGGGATACTTTTAGTTGAATATCAGTGTCTAGTTGCCTATTCTTTCACTCTTACCACAGTTTCAGTTTCATAGGTTTAATATTGGAGGAAGTCCTCATACTTGCTAGTCTTCTTTCAGAGTGTCTAGAATATTCTTGACCTTTTCTCCATACATATTTTAGGATTATCTTTCTATACACACATGCGCACACACACACACACAGTTGACACTGATGGAGATTTCATTGAATTTATTTACCAAAGGTGAGAGAATTGACATTTTTGAATTATGCATCTTCTAATTCATGAACGCTGTATATTCTACACTTATTACATCTTCATTTGTTTTCAAATTTATGCTTTGTATTTTTCTATGCTGAGGTCTTACAAATGCTTTTTTTTTTTTGAGGAAGATTAGCCCTGAGCTAACTGTTGCCAATCCTCCTCATTTTGCTGAGGAAGCCTAGCCCTGAGCTAACATCTATGCCCATCTTCGTCTACTTTATACGTGGGACGTCTACTACAGCATGACTTTTGCCAAGCGGTGCCATGTCCACACCTGGGATCCGAACCGGCGAACGCTTGGCTGCCAAGAAGGGGAATGTGCGAACTTAACCACTGTGCAACCGGGCCGGCCCTCCTTACAAATACTTTTTAAAAATTTGTTCTCATTTTGCACTTATCCTATTTTAAAAATATGTATAAAAATTTCATTTCTAATTTCTGATTGCTTGAATACAAAAATGCAATTTTAAATATTATATTGCTAAACTGCTTTAGTAATGTATTTCTAGATTACTTTGGATTGTCTATGTCACAATCGTATCTGTGATTAATGTTATTATATTCCTTGATTTCTGGTTATTAAAACTTTTCATTCTTTTGCTTTCTCTTAATACTGGCTAGGACCTCCAGTACACTGTTTAACAGAAATAGTGCTATTTGTCTTCCCTGAAAGAAGGCATTTATCATTTGACCATGAAGTTTGGTGTTTGCTTTGTTTGTAGCACACACTCTCTATCAGATTGAGGAAGTTTTTCTTTTATTCTTAATTTGCTAAGAATTTATTTCTTTATTATGAATGATTGTTTTTTTATACATCAGATACTTTTGTGTAACTATCAAGATGAAATGATGTTTTTATCAATGTGCCTTACTACTTTGATTGATTTAAAATTTAAAATGTTACGTAACCCAACTTGGTTGTGATATATTATCCTTTTACATAGACTCCTAATTTTTTTTGCTAATATTTTGTTTAGAAGTTTTGAATTTATGTTCGTTGCGTGAGGTTATCCTATAATTTTTTTTTAATTTCTTTATTCTGGTTTTAGTATTAAGATTATCCTGTCCTTGTAAAATGTTTCCTCTTTCCTTCCTGTAATTAATAGGTTTGGTGTACCAGTCATGTTATGATAGGTTATGCTGTCATAATAATCAATAATCAACTCCAAAATCTCAGTGGCTTAAAGAAACAGTTGTTTATTTCTTACACATTCAAAGTTCATTTTGAGTCAAAGTGAGAATCCAGGTCAGCGATACTACAAGTGGTGATGAACAATTAAACCTCCATATCAATACAGAATTCAACAATCACCACAGTTCAAGAAAGCAGAGGTTGAATGCTCAGCCAGGCAATTAAATGCCTCTATCATGAAATGACACATGCCATTTCTACTCACATTTCTTTGGCCAAAGCAAGCCATAGGGCCACATCAATCTTCAGCATTGCGCAGTTCTCCTGGGTTGCCAGAATGAGAAAGGAACTGGATGTTAACGAACTGTCCATAGTCAGCCTTTGGACTTGTAACCAAGAATTCATTTCCCCTCTTCTCCACATGCAGGAGAGAGGTACTCTTTCTCCAAAGGAGACAAATTTGGATCCCCTTTCAGTGATCCCTTATGATCAAAAGCAGGATCTCCGATGGATCTCCTATAGTCTTCCTCTGGTCTTGATGTGGCTCCTCTTGGTTTAAAGATGTATGAAGAAAAAACAAGCTGAAAACAAACATACAACTAAACAAAAACAACAAATGAGTAAGCTGTCTCCTTCACGCACTCAATATGCAATTACGGAACAGCTGTAGAATTAAGTAGCACAAGGTTCTCTTGCAAAAGAGAATGAAGAGAAAATCCAAAAAAATGAACTAAAATACATGAAAGTAAATTCGGGTATTTATAAAATTTATGTATACATATATGTAAATTAATAAAATGAATTATTATGTTTGAAAGAACTATTAGAATCAGCATGATATTGGAAGAAAAAATGAATGGTTTTCAGTGCTACTTCAAATCTGAGAATCCGGGAATTCAAGACGATAATTTGAAAACTACTCTTTGTTTTCCTGAAGTAAATGGTTTCATTCAATCTAGCTATTTAGGAACAAGTTGAAATGCACTTTGTGATTGATTGACTGATTGATTGATGTTTTTAAAGATTAGCACCTGCGCTAACATCTGTTGCCAATCTTTTTTTTTCTTTCTTCTTCTTTTCCCCAAAGCCCCCCGGTACCTGGTTGTATATTCTAGTTGTGACTGCCTCTGGTTGTGCTATGTGTAATGCCACCTCAACATGACCTGGTGAGCGGTGCCATATCTGCACCCAGAATCCAAACCAAGGAAACCCCGAACCACCAAAGTGGAGTGCGTGAAGTTAACCACTCAGCCACGGTGCTGGCCACACTTTGTGATTTATTTTAACCCAAGATACAAACATAATACCTAGAAATCTCAGGGAAGAATGTGGTTTTACACAATGAGTTCAAATATGGGAACTTTTTTTATAGAAGAAGAGTTTACATTAGAAGGTCTTAACTGTTTTTCCACAGTACCTGCCTTCTTCCTGTCTGTGATTCATGTGGGCAAGCCTCTGAGCAGGTGGCTTCCTTTACGGAGCTCTAAGGTTTTTGATTGTCTTCCACAGTCATTTCTGTTACTGTGGGATCCTCCAGAGCACAGAAGTATGTTGCTGAGTCTGCCAGTTGCAAAGAAGAGATGGTGAGGCTGATGATTTTTTTCGTCTTTTGAAGGTTCACAGAGAAGCGACCCTGCTTTGCACTTGGCTTATCAGTATCCTGATAAATAAGGAAAATCATCTCTCCACTGGGAGGCTGTTTGTACCAGTGCAAGTGATGTCTACTCCAACTGGTTTCATACTTGCAGTCCATGGTCACAGCTTCGCTTTCCTTCCCTGTTATTACGGTCTGAGCTTGGGTTACTTTCTGAGCCATGCTGGATCCTGTGGAAAAGTAGAAGACAGTGTTGGTCCTCTGAAATGTCTCAGATGGGCCATGAGGACTAGATTCATTTAGGACACAAAGGCAAAGAAAATAATCACATAGTGCTTCATTTCCCCACCTCTCTTCCCTCTTAATATCCCAGCCAGTTACAATTTACATAGTCCCACTGTTGGGTTCTAAGAGGAAGCTGAGGCCCTGTGTTTAGGGCCACACATACTGAAGCCAAAGGAGGCCAGGAAAGTCCACAGCAGGCCAGGGCAGAGCATGATAGAAACTCTTCTCCTGGATGAAATTTCTCTCACGCTCACTCAAGCCCAGAAAGCAGCCTTCCTGTGAATGCCTGAGTGCTGAGTTTCTGGGGCTATTAGAAGTTTCTGCCCCCAAACAGGAAGTAAAGTTCATAAGTGGGATGCTACACTGAACTATTCAGAGACTAGAACATCTACCCTACCCCAAGCCTCTGTTTTGTCTTGATGTTTTTTCTGTGGCAATGCATTTGAAAAATGGTATTATATCTAGCAAGTGACAGGAATGAAGTTTAATTGTCTTTTTGCTATTGAATTTTCATTTAATACCATTGTGATCAGTGACTATATTCTGAATGATTTAAATCTTTTGAATTTGATTAAGCCTTGCTTTAAGATCCAGAATAGAGTCCACTTTGACAAATATTCAATGCGCATTTGAAAAGAATATACATCCTGTTGTTTGGGGGTAAAGTCTTCTGTATACGTAAGTTAGGTAAAAATATTGATTGTGTTGGTCATATTTTCTCTACATTTCTAATGAGAGATGTGTGTTCATGGCTGCCACTATGGTTATATAGATTCATTTATTGATTTGTTAAATCAACAAATTCTACCAGTTTAATTATACTGATTAACTCTACTGTTATATGTTTGATACATTTTGAGGCTATGCTATGAGGTGCATATGAAGATAGAAGTGTCATATCTTCCTGGTAGATTGTGCACTTAATCATTTTGAAGTGTTGCTCTGTAACTCTAGTACTAATTCCTGGTTTAATGTTTACTTTATCTGATATTAGTATAGCTATTCAGCTTTTTTTTGGTTAGGGACTACAAACATCTTGTTATCCATATGCAAAAGAATTAAGTTGCATCTCCACCTCCCACTGTCTTCAAAAGTTAACTTGAATTGGATCAATGACATCAATGTACAAACTAAAGCCCTAAAACTCTTAGAAGGAAACACAGATGTAAATCTTTGTTACCTTGGAGTAGGCACTGGTTTAAAATATGGCATCAAAGCCAAATTAACTAAAGAAAAAATAAATTAATTAAACTTTATCAAAATTAAAGACTCTTTTCCTTCTAAAGATACAATCAAGAAAGTGAAAAAGACAACCTACAGAATGAGAGAAACTATTCGCAAGTTATGTGTCTGTTAAGGTCCAAGTACCAGCATATATAAAGAACTGTTACAGATTAACAACAAAAAGACCAATAACTCAAGGAAAATTTTAATTTTAACAGTTGTTTTGCTGCATCTTTAGGGATAGTAGGGATAAAGGTGGGAGGGAATGTTACTTTTCATTATATATCCTACACATTTTTATTTTATTGCATGTGTATTTATTACCTATTCAAATATTCAAGATCAATTTTTACTAAACTGTTTTCGCTATGCAGCCCTCCTTTATAAATATTAGTTACTTGGGTTTTTTTGGCCTTAGAAAGGAGTTGGTGAGCTTTTTCCTCGGATTCGAGTAGTTTGTTTAAAATAGTTATTTTCCTTTCCTGAAGAAACACTGGGAAAACCTGAGACACTTCATATAGTGGATGATACAGTTCATATAGTGGTTGATGTACACACAGACTTAAGAGGTATGAAGGAATTGGTGGTATATTTGACCAAAATCTCAAAACTCTTGAGTAGTGTATTGAACCTAGGGTGTACACTGTCATCAAAAATTTTCCCAGTTATTTCTTCTGACATCTAGCAAAGGAGAGAAGCAGAACAGAGTTGAATGTTGCCATCACTTTCTGTTCATCCTGCTCAATCTTTAGCACTGAGAACAGACAGTGTCTCGCGCAGCGTAGGCAGTCAGTAAATACTTGTTGATTGTAGAACAGTTGCAAAGCAAAAACATTTTGCAGAAATTCCTCTGATTGATACTTGAATTGTACCTTTTATAACTGAGCACCCACATTCTGAAGAGGGATTTTACAGAGGAAAACGGGCATAAATGTTACATGAAAATGCATTTTATATGTTAAATTGATATGAATTAAGGCACATGATATGAACTAAGGCATGAAGACATATAATTAAGATGCACCAAGAATGAAAACACTTATAGGAAATGATACTTTGGGTGATGAAATTTTGAATGATTTTAATTTTTCCATTATATTTTCTATATTTTCAAAAGTATCCATAATGAGCATGTGTTGATTTTATAACAATCTTTTTTTTTTTTTCTGAAAGCCACCAAATTATCACCCAGAAGTGTTTCAGATCTCCTTGGTACATTATAGGTGGTTTACTAGTTCAGTGAGAAAACTTCAAATACCTCAGTGAGGTTATCTTTACAATTTTCGTATCTGCTTAAAACACCGCTGCTTCTCCTGTAGAATATGTTAGAGTTAGTACAAATTGTAGCAGTTACTCCTGAGTTATTTGAAAACTGAAATTTTTGTAATCACAATGATTAGATCTCTGCATCCATTTCAAGTTGGAAACAAGCACATTATGACAAGCTGTTCTAACCCAAAAGCTGGTCAAAGGCAAAGCATGTGACTGGAGCTCCCAGTGCAGGCTGCAGGGGCTGGAGAGTGCTGTGCGTTCCCTGCACAGAAGAATGAGGCTGAGTCTCCTGGTTGAGTGGCTATGATATGCAAGGTGGCATGTTGAACTTTTCATTCGACAGAACTGTGAGTCTTCTGTCCTGATTTCTGTCTACATTTGAATGAATCTTTATTAGAAGAGTAGAGTCTTTCTCTGCTTCCTTCTTTACCAAGAGAAATAATTCAAAGCCCCATCTGTGCGATTGCAGTTGATAACAGCCATTTCTCTCTCACAGACATTTCCGGATTGAAGGACTCTGCACCACATCCTGTTTTTGGCCACTCACCGCTGTTGAGACAATGAAGATGGGTTATTTCTAAAGCCAGGAATCTTACGGAGAAGCAGAATAACCCTCTTCCTTCCCTAGACTTGCAATGGACCTTTCCAGAGACCTCTGGACTTACAGTATTAGCATCTATGACAAGTCTTGGACAGATAAAAACATTAATAAGAAACATGCCTTTTCACCAGCCTCCTCGGAATTTACCTAGTGAATAAAAGCATATGAATAAACACATTTTAAGGGAAAACTCCGTGGAGGTAAAGGATTGAGAGAAGATAATACAACACAAGTGATAATGGTGGTTCACTCAATCTGACATGGCTGTGACAGTGGTGTCCAGCCACACCATCTCTAGGAATAGAAAGCAGCAAGTAGAAGACCTGGAAATAGAGGGTTCCACAATAAGGCTACCCTTACATTTTCTATCACAGTTTTCCTGGAACAATCTTATTGCTTCATGAGCTCCTGAAATTCTAGCTTCTTGAATTACTGTTAATTTACATAAATTATTAGTGGTTTTATGGTTATGTTAAAACAGAATCTCTATCTTTTAGAGTACTCCACCCTGGACTTTTGGCTCCACCCTCAACTTTAAGCTGTCCATGCATTCCTGAAGTGTAGAGAGCATCTCTATTTTCTCTCACTCCTCTCCCAACAATAGATAGCTGTTGTTTATTATTCAGTGCTGACTAACCTCATTTGTGGGAGGTGGACCTCTCTGTTGTCTTGGTGAGTCTTCAATCTTAGACTGGCCCCTGTCCCTGGATCTGGGATTTAGGATTTTCTCAGTATTCATGCCTCTCCTCCTCACAGAGTCCAAACACTGCCATGTTTCTCTGTGAGTCTTATGTGAGAGAATTTTCTGCCTCTCCCTCGTTGGTAACAGACTTATAACAGAGCTGTTATAGGATCCTCAGCTTAGAATGGTTTCCTTCTCTTACCCAAAGGTATAGGCCTTTTTCCTTGACTCTTCTCTGTGCTGCAATGAATCTTAACCTGTGCCCTGGACAGCATGTACGTGTGTATATGTGTGTGTGTGTGCGCGCGCGCACACACACGTCAGAATTTGCTGTCATCTCTTTATCCTCATCCCCAATATCTTCAAGTTTTCCTTTGTGTGAGAGACTGATCTAGGCAAAGTATCGGGATTTGTGCTTTCCTGCAATCATGGCCCATCATGTCCCACCGGCCCACATCTCTGATGGGGCTCCTTCTTTCACTCATTCTGTCCCCAGTCATTTTTGAGAGCATATGGCAGGGGTCTGTGAAGACAGTCTCACTCATGAGTAGAAACTCCTCTTGTGTCTGTGACTCCCAACAGTTCTATATTGTCATGAGAGCCCTCACTCTGTCTTTTAGCTGATTTCTCTTTCTTGCGTTTACGGCAGCCAGCTCCTCTTTCACCTATGTTGTGCTAAAGTTGTGCCAGTCCGTATGCCTTTCTCTCCTTGCGGAATGCCTTACAACGCATTACAATCCTTGGTTGCCCTGTGACCTCAGGTCTCTGATAGGTTAAAGTAAAGTGATGATTTTTCTGTTTATCTGATATTACATGTTACGGTAGAAGCACAGTCTTTCATGCTTTATATACCCTAGGAGGAACTGGAACTCTTTCCGTCTTCTATTGCATCTAAAATTGAAATAGTCATATCAAAAACACAGGATCTTTGCCAGCATTTTCTCCTAATCATAGGAAGGAGTGCAAAATGTATTACCATTATACATCACATTTCACAATTGAAATATCTCCTTCCTATTCATTCAGAGAAGAAAGACACTATATTACCTTCTCCTAGCTGTATTTTGACCTATATTGGTCACTAGGTCTTTAAAAAAAAAAAAAGTTGAGCCAAATTTTTATTTTATTATTAAGGATCACATAGAAACTAGAGTCTTTATTGGGTCTTTGTTGATGGAGGAATGAGCAAGCTTCTGCAGGCATCATTACTAATTCTGTGGCTTCAGTTAGGTTGTGAATCATGGGAGTAAATTTGGACTCAATAAGGAGAAATCCCATGAAACATTACAAGGCTGTGGAATCAGATGATTGCAGTTTATTCTGGTCCAGATGGGTTTTAAAGATGGGCTTATGGATAATATGGATACCTAAGAAACATCTTTCAATTACTATTTACCTTGGTCTTAATCCAGATATTGTGGATTGAAATATTTTGTAATATATATAAAGGAACTTGAATATAGGCATTTCCCTTAAAAGCAATTAGAAGCAACTGAAGGACACCACTTTTTTTTCTGAGTGAACAAGTGATTGACTAAACCAGAGAGAGTAAGTATCCA